ATAGCATTAATTTATGTTTCAGATTTTGTTTTTATATATTACCATTAATTTTCCTTATATATATATTTATATATAAATATATATATATATATATATAAATAGGTAATTATGTAACTTTTTATATTGAGAACAATTTTTATCACAGAGCCTTTTGTGCAACACATTTTTATATATATTTAAAAATTAGAAAATCAGTCAATTTGGGGAAAGGGCTTTACCTTTCCTTACCCATTATATTCTTTTTTCTGTTCTCTCTTCATAATGTAAGCTCTAGGTCTATTTATTTTTTCCTAGACATTTTTTTGTCTTTGTATTATCTGTCTAGGATAATTGATTCCATTCATAAAATGTAGTTGGTCTGATGAGATGAAACCGTCATATAGGTTTTTTCCTCAAAATATATATATATATATATATATATATATATATATATATATATATATATATTTTACGGCCACAACATGAACCTTATCATCAGACAAGTGTTTGTTTGTCTCAGAATTTAAATTTGTTTTAAACTTCTGGTAGATGCCTTTTAATGAGAATGGGTTTGTGTTAGCAATTGGTGGATTCATAACTGCGGTCTGGGGTTGGAGTTTGTTTATGGCCAGAACCCTTGTTGTTTGTAGTTTAAATCACTATGTGGCGTTTTTTCTTATACATGGGTTAAGAAATGGACTACAGGTGTCCAATATTATTAATTTATTTATTAAAGATTAATGTAAATTAGTTTTATATTTATGTTTTAACGTTGAATTATTTTATAGATACATATCTTCATTTAAATATATATATATATATATATTATATGATAAACACACATTACAATTAACATCCACTACTATATGTAAAATATATGCACATGATTCTTATGTAATTTCTTTACACATTTTGTGATTAGTTCTCCGTTGGTTCAATAATTGATCTTTATATTTTATTATCCTGATTTTTTCTTCTAAACATGGCTTTTATCCCTAAAACTATTGGGGGGTCATAAAACCTAGAATTTTCCAATTTATTTGAGGATTCAGCCAAAGGGCTGCTTGGTGTTTTAATTTTGGATTGGTGAATGAATGCCTATGCGTATTGATTCTCTTTTTAAATTCTCCTGCAGAAATACTGACGTAAATATTATGGTTTGTTGAATTTTCTTTAGGAGTAATGATTGCCTGGTATACTACCCTAGTGGATCTGCACTTGCCCTCTACTGGGCAGTAGGACAGTACTTCCTAAACAGTACAACATTGGACAGTATTTCCTAAATTTAGTAAACACTTCAACAAAGAACCCTCTAAATAAGATATTCAACAGGAAATCAGTCAAAGTTAGCTACTCCTGCACTGATAGTTTAAAACAGTTTAAAATGTAATTGTTATGGGAATTAATAATTTGGTTATAGGTTATTATAAACAGTAAAAAACTAAATCTAACATGGAAACTCCCCGTAATTGTAGAATTAAGGAAAACAGCTCAGATTATTGGGTTTGGCATTAAATAGCCTCACTAACCCACAATTGGCCAAACCTGGTGAGTTGGTTACACCTCTGAAGATATAATCAGGGAGGGGTTCCTCCAATAGGAATGAGTAGGTTTTGGCGCTAAATTGTAAGGTCATGTGTCTTCTAACAAAATTTATCCGCCTGTTCAAAGTATGCATTATAATCAAGACTTATTGGTCAAAGCCCAGCTTAATCATTATAACAGCATATCCAAAGTCTTTATTGCATCACATATGTTTTGTGGCATTTAAAAATTTGACTTAGTATCAATTCCTGATGAAAATGGAATTTAATTTTATCAAGTTGATTTAACTTGCTTCAGAGTTCAACCTCTTAATAAATTCTTTCAAAATTCTTCTAATTGTGGAAAAAGTTCAACTGAAAAACATACATGTATGAGATCAATATTCACTTAATTTCAAAGTGTTAGTGATGATTTTGCTAATATTTTCATATTTATTTACATCAAATGTCTGAATATATGAGAAATAATCAGTCAGTTAGGTGTCATGCGTGATGCTTAGGTGATCATCTATCTTTTGATACATGACTGATGAGGCAAATTTTTTCCCACAGTAGGTTGCCATTTCTTTCTTCGGTACACCAGTTGCCATCCAAGGCTATAGAACCCAGTCTGTCCTGCTATTTACCCATAGCTGGAGGGAGAAGAAGAGGATTCATACCTTTTCCAAGTGTATTAGCATGTAAGTGAATTTAATGGATTTGACTGGAATTCGAACTCGGCTCTCAGATTCTTCAATCTGAGTCGCTATCCATTACTTCACTGTGCCTCCTATGGAATTCGAACTCGGCTCTCAGATTTCTCAGTCTGAGGCACTATCCATTACTTCACTGTGCCTCCTCTACGAGAACTAATACACATGAATATTATACAAGGTTCAAGCAAACACTTCAAATTTGGCTTTTATCAGAAGCAATAGTTTCCTTAAAAGTGAATTCTCACTTAACCCCTAGGAGAAAACACCCAATCTATCAGCCAAATAACAAAGATGATGACAGGGCCAATCCATCGGCCCAATAATAAAAGACAATCAGATAGCTTTTTTACATTTCTTGTACATCTGTGTGTTTCAAGTGTGGTTTCTATGATAGTTTGCAGTGTTCTGTGATTTTATATTGATTTTTTTTTTGTGTTCTAAGTGATGGCTTGTGAAAAGGGCTCCATCTTCTTGGCACTGAAACTCCAAATAAGGCTGTCTCCAAAGGGTCAACCATTAAATACGTCTTCATAATATTTTTTTTTTTAATTAACCCATACAAAATTCAAATCATTCCTTGAAAATGACTTTCTAAATGTAAGTTTCATACTTTTAAAGACAATATTGATTATTTAAGAGATTAGACTTTTTACAAAAATACGATATCATTCCTTAAAAAAAAAAAAAAAACCCAACAAATAAACAACAACATGTATCTATGAGGGGAGACTAAAATTTCTCAGCTTAACCTACTTTCTTAAAATCTGAACAAACCTGAGATTGGGGAGCACTTCTTTTTTTTTTGTCAGGCCAAGAACTTTTCAGTCCTCTTTCATATACTTGTGGAGATAATATTGCTTGGTTCAACAGACTGAAACTTTTTTTTTTCAATGAGATTATAATATTTACTTGTAATCTTGAGCAAATTTAATTTCTGGCTTTTGTCTCATTTTGGACATTAACTTTTTTTTTTTTAGTTTCTATTGTTTTTGTTATTTTTTTACTTCTGTCTATAATGTAAACAAACCAGACAAACTTTTTAATTAATTGACAGTGTAGGAAATGAACATAGATAAATATATTTCAGTTAATATTTATCAACTGTAAATATTCATAATGCAACAAAACTAAAGTGAAAACATTTGTTCTTTGGTGGAACCACATTTGATAATATTCAGCATATGTATCATAATATTTGTTTAAAATACAAGAAATTTTTCTATCAGAACCAAAAGTCAATGGGTTTAAATCTGGTTTTCTGAAAGCTAAAATCACCATTGAAATGCCAATAACAAGATTAAGAATGTGATGTGGCAGCTGATGGTGATTCCAAAAGAAGACTTTGCAGACTATTTAAAAAAATGAAAAGAACATTGCAATAAGTGTGCAAAGGTACAAGTGGACTATTTTGAAAGGGACAAAGGCACTATTGCCCTAGGTAGGATATTTTTTGTTAATATTAAATAGCTGAATATTTTCTGGCCAAACATTGTATATAAGGTTGCATTGTACATGTATGAACATGGTAATACTTAAAATGTATATCCAGTAATGGAAGGTGCAGCAGAAATACCTCCCACATAATAAGACATTAACGGTAATAGTGTCTTCATCTAGCTGATGTCTTACCATTACATAGGAGGTATTTCTGCCGCACATTGTATTTAAAATAACCATTGAATAACATCTTAGCTTAAGACAACTATGAATTTTTTATTTCTATAAACATTATTTTAGTGGGTACACATGTTTGAATAGACATCACTAATTAAAAATAGTGAAACTAACTTCTTTTAGGGACCTGAGATAGGTGGGGGGGTTCTTAATAATCAAGAGAGATTTTTCTTTTTCAATATGCAATAGATGGGATAATCTTAATATAAAATGAGGAGAGGAGAGTTGAAAATCACTTAAGGAGTCAAAAAGCACAAAATTAGTGAACGGGGGTAAGCTCAGGATTTGGTTAGATTTTGTTTAACGGCATTTCAACCCCAATGGATCATTTTATGCTAGGTGAATACACAGGTTGCATGTATACTTTATTTTTTTCCAAAAGTTGGAAGGGTCAGTTGGAAAGCTCAGAGGTTTGGGAAATTTTCTCAAAACATACCCCCCCCCACGTTTATTAAGCTCCTTAAGTATCATCAAAGAAAATGTACCTCTCTTTAGTAAGACTTTCAATGATCTAAGCCAGTAGATGTTAATTTCACAGTTTATGAATAAACATGGATGCCTAGTCAAACATGTTCCCACTAAAATAACATTTGTATTAATATGAAATGTCAGATTAAAAAAAAAAAGAAATCTGTCAATTTCTTTAACAATTATGAATACAAAATCAATACACAGAAATAATATCATCATCATCAGTCCCTTGACTGCTTCACTCATTGGACGGGGGGGGGGGATCCAAGGGCAGACAACCACCTGAAAGATGATCTGTTGGCAGTGGCATTTGTGTTGCTGTCCCTTCTTGCATCCACCTTCAACAGTGCCTTGCATGATGGTCTTGAAGAGGCAGTTATGTTGTGTGAGACTTTTGATCTTGCTCCATACGCAGTCATTGGTTTTGTGCTCCCAGTAGGAGATGTGGAGGAGCTTTCTCGAGCATTTGTTCTCGAATAATACGTAGAAACTAGATTTTACTAAATCGTAAGGAGTAACAAAGCAATTTATGGAGGTTATGGAACATGCAACAGAAAAAGAAAGTAATTTAAGTCCAATGGCAACTCATACATATTCAGTGGATTGTGATATTTTTGTAACTGTGAATAAAACATACCCGATTCTTCTGTGCTATCCTTCAAAATAGTTTTCAATTTTTTAAGCAAGTGTAAATCCCGGGCTCTTTTGCTACTCTTGTCACTGTTGAAAAGAAAAAATAGATAAATACATATTTTTCTTACATTTACAAATATATTTCTGTCTTCAAGTTAGAAAAAGAAATTATTCAGAAATCATTTATATTTGTCCTTTGTATCAGAAAAAAAAAAAAAAAAAAAAAACGAAACAAAAAAAAAAACCTGAACATTTGCTCGAATTTTTATCTATTATTAATCTCTCACAAATGACATAATAATTTGCTTGGGACACTATTTGCCTAGTTATCATTGGGGTATTGTGGTCCATACCACCAAACTCAAAATCCTACATTAGGAAAATTTGAATAAAGTTTAGTATCCTGTTGCTTCAGAAGTCTGTATTTCTTGGCACTGCAAATATTCTGTGAAAAGTGCTGTTTGAGGTTGTACAACTTGATGGAAAACACCCATAAGTTCACAATTTTTTTTTTTTTAGGGCAATTCACCCCAAGCAAGGCAGGAGTGCCACAAACATGCAAGGGGTTACAGAGGATTGAAAACTTGAGTAAAGAGACGTGTATGAGGAAAGGATACAGAGAAGGACGGGGAACAAACTAAGGGTGTCAGATGTTGATTGACATTACACTTGAATATTTGAAGATTATAGTCATCAGGGAAGCAAGTAAGGGGAAGGGAGTTCCATGGACTGGAAGTGCAGGAGAAGAAACTGAATAGAAGAGACGGTTACATTCAACCGTTTTGACAGTGAAAGGGTGGAACAGAGATGCTGGCCTGGTAGCTCACTTAAATTCATGTAGTCCGGGAACCAGTGAATGTAGCTCATCAGAACAGTTGCCATGGAAATACTTGTAGAAGAATCAGAGGGAGGCCATGGGACATCTGTGGGATAGCAATTGTAGACTAGATGCCAGATCAAGACCTATCATCTTGCATATTTGTCTTTGGATCCTGTTGAGGACCCTGAAACATATAGCGGGAGCACTAGACTGTATATGACAATAATATTCCATGCAAGGATGGATGGTTGAAAACTGTGTGGAAAAGAAAATAATAAAAATGATGATTTACTTGAATCTCTCTGCTTAACAAGACACCTTGAGGACACTTAACAGGTGGCAGCACTGCTTGGAATTGCTCATTTGCTGAGGAAAATGGTGTCTCTCTTTCCTGGACCTCTTGCCTTCAATATGTCACATGATTATCAAATTTTCCCAGCCCTCTTTCCTCATTATGTGACCTAGAAATTTCAACTCTTTCTTTCTGATGTTAAGTATGTGTCCTTTTTGTTACTATTTTCTCTAAGAACTTTGTCCTTGCCCACATGTTCAGTACATGGTATTCTGAGCATTTTTCAGTAGAACCACATTTCTGTTGCCTCAAATCTTTTCTTAATCAAGGAAGAGATTGTCCAGCATTCACTGGCATCACTGGGCCAATATTACATAACAGTAAAGAAAAAAAAAAAAAAACTCAAAATATCCAGGTAAAGTTTATTCTTGTAGACTCCTTGTGGAGCATAGGACCAGAACCATACCAGCCTAGCAAACTCAGTTGTGGGGGAAAAAACTGCTTCAATATCAATTTGATTGATTTGTTTAATGGCTTATGGGTCATTTAATGCTGAAATTTAATTGATATATCTTGAATGCAATCTTATGACTTCAACTAGAGATAAAATGTATTGTTGGTCATTTTGATTTAAAATTGTATTGTTGCTATTTTTTTTATACAAGTATGTATTGCTAGCATTTTTACTATAAATATGTATTTTTATACTTTCATAGATAATTTGTATTTTTATACTTTTCATTTTTGTTTGGGGGTTCACTATTTGCCATAGCTGGGATTCTAACAGGTGTTAACACCCTGGGCTAGGGTGAACCTAGGAACAGCAGCAATTAAGAGGTGGTTCCTCCTCAAAACCTCCAATCTCTTAATGAGTTTTCCTCTATCTCACTTGGCCTCAGCCCATCCTGAGAGTATCAGATTTTTCAAGCCTTCTTTCCTTGTTATGTGCTCCAGAAATTTCAACTGTCTCTTCTTGATGTTAAGTATAAGTTTCCTTTTTGTTTTCATTTTCTCTAAAACTTTTGTTGCTAACATGTTCTTCCATATCCTCAGCATCCTTCTGTATAACCACATTTCTGTTGCTTCAAGTCTTTTCTTCATCTTTGAGGAGATCGTCCAGCATTCACTGCCATATAGGATTGATATGTAACAGTTCAGTACTCTTTTCTTTTCTATCTCTTAATACTTTGCTTAGCTTTTGGAAGGCTTCTTTGGCTATCTCAATGTGTCTTTTGATTTCAGTGTTGCACTTTCCATCCTCTGTTAGAACACTTTCCAGATATTTAAATTTTTGTACTCGTTTGATTTCAGTATCCCTGATTTGTAATTTGCATTTTGGGCTCATACTTTTGCCAACAACCATGCATTCTGTCTACTCATAATTTATGTTTAGTCCTTTATCTCATTTTCCTTCACTATGTTCTGTAGTAGCTTTTGTAGTTTTCTTTCCATGTCTGCTATCAACACTGTGTCATCTACATATCTTATATTGTTAACATGGTGGCTGCTAATAATGAATCCAGCTAGAACTTCTAATTCTCTCAGAATCGCCTTGCTATATAGGTTGAATAAGTCTGGTGAGAAGACACATCCTTGTCTTACATCCCTTTCTATTTTTGTATATCTGCTGAACACATTCTCTATTCAAATACAGGCAGTTTGCTGCCAGTATAGGTTCTTGATTATTCTGATATCCTTTCCAAATATATCAAAGTTGCAGAGCAATTCTGACAGATCTTTGTGGTGTACTTTATTGAATGCCTTTGTGCAATCTATAAAACACAGATACACCTCCTTCTGCATTTGTATTGCACTTTCTGTTAACATTGTGAGCATAAATATTGCATTCCTTGTTCCAGTGTCTTGGACAAATCTGCATTGTTCTTGTCCTATTTCTAGTCTGATTACATACATTATTCATCAGAATTTGGATGATTAGTTTTGTTATATGGCTTATTAGGCTGATTGTCTGATAGAGTTCACATTCGTTTGCACCTGCTTTTTTAAGCAGCACTATGAAAATAGATCATGTTTAGGTCTTCTGGTATATATCCCCACTGTTGTAGATTTCATTTATTATTTCTGTAATCTTGTCTATGCTGACATCAATGTGAAAGAATATAAAGAAAAGGATAAATATTATTAAGGAGCAAGAACAATAAAAGAACAGGAATTAAAAAGATAAAGTTTGGCTACTGGAATAAGGCTGTAGAATAAAATGGTCAGAATAAAAAAAAATTCAGTCCAAACAATGCTTGGAGTAATAAGGACTCTTCTGGGTGGAGGTGGGGTGAGGAGAGAGAAACATACATCACATATGTTTCATTTGCATTCTTACCTGAGGGCAAGATGAAAAGGCACATCAATTGTTTTGATTAGTCCATTTGTATCAATGAGTGCAACTTGGAATGTTCTATTCTTGGTGTCCCGACTTGTGACATTATTGAGCCCCATCATGCCATAGCCAGGACAAATTAGACGACAACTTTTGCTCACGTTGAATGCAGCCACACGAGGACCATTAACTGCAGTCCATACCTGAAAGATGCCAAAATAAACATTCAGTAGCAATACTTACAATCAATAAGAAAATATATACAAATAGGCTGTCAGGAAAGATTGGTTTTATTTTAAATAAAGTTACATAAACTTGGGATGTAGTGTCAGTGGTAGTACCTTTGTAGCAAAGCAATTGACCCTGCTTTGCTCAGGTGAATTAGGATGCGGAAATGTGCTGATTCACGGTCTACATCCAACTTTCACATAGGGTTCCAAAAGTTGCATGGGCAAAAAACTGCATCAATATCAGTTTGATTGATTTGTTTGTTTAATGGCTTATGGGTCATTTAATGCTGAAATTTAATTGATATATCTTGAATGCAATCTTATGACTTCAACTAGAGATAAAATGTATTGTTGGTCATTTTGATTTAAAATTGTATTGTTGCTATTTTTTTTTATACAAGTATGTATTGCTAGCATTTTTACTATAAATATGTATTTTTATACTTTCATAGATAATTTGTATTTTTATACTTTTCATTTTTGTTTGGGGGTTCACTATTTGCCATAGCTGGGATTCTAATAGGTGTTAACACCCTGGGCTAGGGTGAACCTGGGAACAGCAGCAATTAAGAGGTGGTTCCTCCTCAAAACCTACCAGCTAAACCGTGCGAGAATAATTAGAAGGGTTTTCCCACCCAACTGCTAAAGGGAAATGCCTCTCCCCAAACTGCCTGTGCCAAGCGGCCAGTTGCTAGTGTAGGAGCTATACCTCAGTTTCAACAGCTTTAGTAGTGAGCAAAGAAACTTCTGGTAGGAGGGATGGGGTAACCTCAACATCTCCAATGCAAAAGGAACTGGCAAGTCATTGCACTATTTTGCCTTAAATGTTGCCATGAAGCACTATTATAGAAAAGTCATGACCATAGTGGTGCAAAAGTGCAAAATGAATAAATGAAACTGAACTGAAAGGTTCTATTCATATTAATTTTCAACTTATTGAAATCAAAAAGGAAATCATGGTATTTACAAAGCTTACAGAAACAAGCCAGAGTAAATATCAAATGGGGGTAGGGACATCATGTTATGGCTACCTTCCAATGAACAATTGCTTTATACCTTGAAAATGTGTATTTTAAGATCTAGCTTTTACTTAGGGACAAACACAAACTACTGGCTCCAAGTATACAAATTATACAACTATTTTCTTACCCCCAAAGAAGTACGTTTTCCCATGTCTTATCTCATAGGTGTTAGTAACATTAATGTTTTGATACAGGGTAATGTTATACTCACCCTGCTTAAATTGCAGATTAATAAGGGGTTTCTGTCAGCTTCTGTACTAGGGTTCATCACTTCGATTTTTAAAATCCTAGTTGAAGTAAAAGTGGGTTCCATTGCTGATTATGAATTCAGAGATTGTTCTCCATGACTAACCAAGGCTGGAGAGTCCAGTCAACTTTGCTATTTAATCATGAGATATAGTGAGTAGAAGAGATTTACTAAAGGAATTAATACAGATTATTTCAGTGAGAATCTGAACTCAGCTTATCAATTCCATCTTGAAAACAACTGTTAGGCTGCCCACATCTCTACACAGCTCCAAAAGTAAATTAATATAAAGGGATGCTGAAAAGTTTTCAGCCTAACTCAATTTTCAATATCTGACCAAAAGATTCAAACATCAAAATTTCATTCTTGGGTGGTCCAAAAACTTTTCATTTGTAAACTTGTCTTATAAGACTATACACACATAAGATGTCTCCCTGGTTTAGTGAATTTGAAATACAGAACTGTAATAATACATTCATCATATATTTATCATCTAGTTTAAAGTCTGTCTATATTTCTGAGATGAGGTATTATGTACATTATTTACATTATTCAGACTATTGTCCTCATCTAACCAAATTTTATCCACTGTGCCATGTGTCCTGAGGACACATAGCACAGTGGATAAAAGTGTTGGTTAGATCCAGTGACCCAAAGAGTGTGAGTTCAATACCCGGCAGTGGAGAACTTTCAGAGGGAAATTAGCAGGAGATAACTGATAACTGACATCCATCAAACATGGCACGTGGAACTAGAACAGTCTACCCCAGTGAGTAAACAAAGGGTTCAGTCAAAAATTCCAACCACCTGAAGAAGGCCGGAGCGTACAACGGCCGAAATGTTGTGATAAAGATGGCGACAAAGATGCGGACAATAGTCCGAATAATGTAAATAATGTACATCTAGTTTAAGTTTTCAGTGATCAGCCACCTATCTATAATACATTGAATGTAGTGGAATAATTATTTTTGTGTAAAATAACGTTTATTCTGAAGAGACTGGCAAATGTAATACTTTAAAAATGAACCTTTGCAAGCGAATTATAAAAAAAAAAAAAAAAAAAAAAAAAAGAAAAGTGACCAAAAATTGTTTACTTCAAGAATCCCTCTTCGAGGTGCAAAAAATAACAAGGAACTGTGCAATCCGGCGTAATTTCTGGGGGTTGGTACACTGACTTTTCTCTTCTTTTACTTGCACCCAACCAATTTGAGCATCTCGATAACCTAAAAAAAAAAAAAAAAGGTTCTCAGAATTAAAAAGTCACAAAAATTAAAATTAAAAAAAAAAAAAAAAAAAAATTAAATCACCAAAGTTTTTATGAAAACCTGGGAGCATCTTTAGCTTAAAAAAGAAAAAGAAAAGCATTTATTTTGTGCAGTATATCCAAACAGTAAATATTGCCTGTTTGTTTAACGGTATATCAACTCCTTATGGGTCATTTAATGCCGAAATTTAATTTTCTTAAGAGCATTAGTAATTTCTTTTATAAAAAATGTATTGCTGGTAATTTTTTTTTTTTTTGTCAAAAATGTTTTGCTGGTATTTTTATACTTTCATAGTGTTTTGATTCTAGTTTATGGTTTCACTATTTGACCATAGCTGGGACCCTAACAGGTGCTACCACCCTGGGTCAGGGTGGACTTGGGAACAACAGCAATTAAGAGGTGCTCCTCAAAACCTCCTGATCAGAGGCCTTTGCTGCTAGAGTAGTTTATTGTCATACCAAGGGCATGTAAATATTGGTAGTATCAGAAAAAGTTTTGTGATATTCCCAGAAGGAATTAAGTTAATAATTCATCTCGGAATTTTAGACAATGTTTTGTAAAATTTGTTTGCTCAACAAAGAAAAAGCAATTGTTTGATTCATTTTCTATGGTTTATTAACCCTTTGCAGGTTATTTAAAGCCAGAAAATATTTTTAATTTGTAAGAATATTTTTTTTGAGATAATAATTATTTAATGATATGTGACACTATTTAGCTATGGTAATTGATTAAATAATTAACCATAAAAATGAAAGAAAATACTGAGAACGGAAAAGATATCCAGAGATTTTATTTTTACTTTAAGAAAAAAGTTACTTTTCTCAAGAACCCAAGAATTTGCATAAACAGTGGACTCACAAAAAGGCCATATGGTGAGCTTTTGACAATTGATTGATGATAACTGGTTAAGAAAAATACGAGAATCAGAAAATGTCTAAGATATCATTTGAAATCACAAGGATTTTAGAAGTTGGCCAAACAACAGGGCCATGTGTTAATTGTAAGAATCTTTGGCATAGGAAGTTCCAAGAAATATGTCATGAGGATTTATGTCAATGATAAATTCACAGAAGGGCAATATGTTGAGCTTTTGACAATTGATGATAATTGTAAGGAAAACATGAAATAGCCAAAAAGCATCTAAAATATCATTCAAAACTGCAAAGATTTTAGAAGTTGGCCAAGTGACAGGGTCATGTGTTATTTGTAAGATGGAAAAGGGAATTTCATAAACAAAGTTGATAATTCTGAACTTAGAAATCCTGAATAAACAAGGATGTCAAAGAGTTAATGAAACAAGCTTAGCCACACCCGCATGACTGAGATGCCATTGGTTGAGTGGTAGAAATGGTGATAGGTGGAGGTAAATTAGTAAGAAAGATGGAGAAATTACTAACACCCAACGAAAGGATTTGGTATGAGATACCAATGTGAGAAGGAGGGAGTTTAGGAGGACGAATATCCTGCAACCTCTCCTCATGAACAAAGGGATCCCCCCCAAAAAAAAATGGAAATTAATTAATTTTCCAAAATGGGAAGTAATCAATTTTCCTAGACAGACAACAAAGAGGTCCCTTGTCAGAAATCGAGAATTATCAAAGATCCCAGGTTGCAGCTAGCCCTGCACCAGTTTTTGGTCGATGTCAATATAAGTGAGTGCTCTCATGTAGGTCACCAGTTCATTGCCTTTCTTCAAAACAGCAAGTTATACTGACAAACGAAGCTAAGCCAGCACCAAAAAACCAAACCAGCTGAATTAGAAAACCAGAACTTGCTTAGAAGTACACTAGTGTCACTCTCAGAAGAAACGGGTTGGGAAAAATATATACTCCTGTATAGAACAGACTGATAAAAGTTGATTTGCTTCTTTCAACATATTTGAGCCTTTTTTTTTTTTTTTTGCTTTTATCTATTTCTTTCTTTTAACGCTTGTGCAACATCATCTCCAGTTTAGACTCATCTTATACTATGGACTGATGTCTGATTGATCTCATCTACCTATGATCAAATCACAATGTGGGTAGGTTAGACTTGAGATCGAAGTAGTTACATTGGTAACCAGTCATTGGAAGTGAGCTGAGAATGACAGAGTTGGTGTTGAACTGGTTGCATCTGGTATGAAGCCATTAGAATCGACCGACCATCCCATTTGGTACCCTGACCAAAGGATCCCACTGGGTAGCAACGACCGCCGATTGACCGGGTCACATTGTTGGTGGCAGTGATTAAGAGTCAACCCCAAGGCACTGGTAGGAGAAGTATCACAGCTCCACGCCACAACCAGGAGTTGACCCCGGGCCGACAATACTGTGTCACAGTTTTACTAATTAATGAATAAATGGAGGAGAAGATGTGGATTCATACCTTTCCCAAGGGTATTTGAACATAAGTGAATATAATGAACCCAACAAGGTATTTCCCAAGCAGTCACCCATCTAAGTACTAACTTGATGTTGCTTAACTTTGGTAATCATACGAGGAACTGAGGTTTCAACATGATGTGGCTGTAAGCCATAGCAAAATTGGCACAAATGTAATTAATTATAATGAAGAAAATATTTCTATTCTCTGTTGACAAAATATCCAGCATTTTTTATGCAAACAAAACTGACAGACCATTGTTTTCCATATTTCTGAATGTTCTGGCACTAAGAAAAATGCTTGATTGATTTAAACTCATGATAATCCAAAAATATTAGTTCGTCACTTGGGTTTGAATAAAAGGGGAGGGCAGGAATAAGCAATGAGATGGATTTGGGCAAAACATTGCATCACCTAAGTCTGTCAGTTCTAATACAGCCCAGATTTGGTTCTCTGTGACTTCTGGATATTCCCAAAACTAAAGTTTCCATTGAATGTGAGGAAATTTCAGAACATGGGGATGAGATTAAAAAGAATGTGATGAGGCAGCTGATGTTTATCCAGAAAGAGGACTTAGTAGAATGTATGGAACATCTGAGGTAACCAGAAGAGTAATTTGAAGAGGACTAAGGCATCGTTACATGAAGTTTATTTTATTAATAGTAAACGGTTCGATACTTTCTGGACAGACCTTGAATGTAGTGAAAAGAACGTTTTCTTTGATCTTGTGCACAAAGAAGGCATTTTTCTTTCCTTTTAGAGAAATATTGACCATTTGTTCTTTCCTGTCAGTCTACTGTAGAAGAGATGGGCACTAACCATTTAAGCATTCCATAACACAACCCAAACAAGTCTACCAATAGAAAACAAAGATCCTGATTTCTCTCCCAAGGCGAATGTACTGATAACAGAAAATCAACATCCTCTAACATTTGTTCTAAGAAATAGGACTCAAAATAAAGGTTTCTATGATCTGGAATTGGAATTAAAGCAGTGATGCTACATACCCTAAATGCATCATAAAAATTCAGGACATGGAATTAGTAAATACTAAACAGTTCAACTACATCAGGTCAATTATAACAAAGTTAGTATAGGAGAAAAGGAAATTGAAGATAGACTGTGTCAGAAGTAGTTTCAACCAACACCGCAAATTACTACAAAACCAAAAAACCCAAGTCATATTCTAAAATAGCCTTTCATATGGATGTGATGCATGGTGCCAGACCTGTTCAAAAATACTGAAACTGTCAGGTGTACACAACCTTTTTTTAAGATCAATGGTTAAAAAGGCTTTGAGTGAGTGAAGCCTGATAGTCTTGGCAAAGACCATTCTTCTTTGAACATTGAAACTACAGAACACAAAAAATAGAAACTGTACTAGATAAAAAAAAAAAAATCCACATCACTTGAAGACTACCAACAGCAGCAACAACTAAAATGGATAGCATATGTAACTTGAAGAGAAAATAATGACTTAATAAAGATGTTGATATTCCACATTGCTTCAAAATAGAGGTTAGGAAGGAAACCTCCCATCAATACTGGAAAGAGTGATAAGAGTTAGTGGACTTTGAAGTGACCAAAAGCTAGAAAGTTATAATAAAAACAACAAAAGAATAAAGAAGTGATTAGTCAAAAATTAATAATGTAAATATTTCATCTTGGAATTCAGATAATTTAAGTGGTGTAACTGTATCCAAATCTAAAGAAATAATTGTCAACTCTTCTTTATTTTGACTTTACACTAATCGTTAAAAAGTAGCCAACTTAAAAATTTATAATAAAAAAAAACAAAAAAAAAAATAATAAGCTCAAGAAAATAATAAAGAAAATTTAATAATGAAAGTTTTGATTTGTCAATTTGTATGTTGCAATTTATAATATTAAATTTGGTTAAGTCAAATTTAAAGATAAATATTGAATTTTGACTTGTTATCTGAGAAGAACAAAAATGGCATAATTACCTTTCCACATTCTGACTCCAATACCTCGATGTACATCAATAAGGATGATTCTGCCATAACTGTCAGTTGTGGCCGCATAGGAGTTGTTTGGGGACAACACAATACTTTCTCCATGTCTTCTTTTATCAGGTAAACCAAATCTTTAAATATACAAATAAGAATCCAAAATAATGTTTTAGGTTTTTCAGAATGTGAGACAGAAGTTTGTCATTATAAGCAAGTATAACAGGGTGGTGACCCTGGGTCAACATTTTACAAAACATTTACCAAACAATTTTGGTATACTTTTGAATATTTGCTATACAGGTGGGTGGTGGAGAATTTTTCCATGTGAAAATAGGAAATGATGCAAAAAAGCTTAGAAATTCATGGTCTACTTGAATGCTTTCATTAGAATTGCTAATATTCATCAGAGGAACTACATTACTAAGAGCAAAGACCTGAAGATTGCAAACTTTACAAGAATGGAAATTATGCCATGCCCACAGCCTCAGTAACTACATCAAGGACGGATTTTCCTATAGCAGGGACATCAAAAACAATGCTGATTTCCTGTATTTGCTTCTGTGTCACACTTATCCATATTACCACATTCATCTTTGCTCTGTATCACCCTCAGGATGAAGGGTCGGTAATCTTTAAGCAAATACCTGGGAGGATTGATAATATGCTCAGTGAACTTCCCTCGGCTAGTGTTCATATCTGCAGTAACTTCAATATTCACCACAAAGACTTTCTAACAACCTGCCCTAATAAATACTTAGGAAACATCAGTCCATTCCCTAGTCAGTGTCCAGATTAATTCCAAACCAATGACATCTTCTGATTTAGCATTCCATAGAATGATTTTTCACTATGTAAAGGCAGATTGGAACAGTTTTTGGTCCTATATGACAAAAGTGCCGCTCCCAACCTTTTTCAAGCATGCTGCCCTTGTCTCTGAATGGATCTTTCCTGCAAAGGAGTGCTTTATACCCCCAAAAGATTTCCAGCAAAAACCAAACAGTCAGCACTGGTTCAACCCTGAATGCACTGCAGCCATAGGTCACCGGAATCACTACTTCAATATCTATTGTAAAGAGCAGTGTAATTTGGCTCTTACTTCTTTAAGAACTACCCGTAATCACTATAAAAGAGTTCTGGAAAACACAAAGTGCAGATACACACAAGCTATCCAGGGCAAGATTGAAAAGAAACAAATTGGATCTTGTGAATTCTGGAAGGTCATCACCCAAATTATGAACAACCAGTTGTGCCCACTATTATAAATGTCCCTGAGGTAATATCATCCTCAATAAATAGGGTGAAGCTATTTGCCTCAATCTTTGTTTCAAACTCAACATTATATGACAAAGGCCACCAACTTCCCAAATTTCACTGAGCACAATCTCAGTAATATATCTCTAGACTTATCAAAAGCCCTGACCCTACCAAAACAAATTCCAGTGGTTGTCCTTAAGAATATCAACCCATAATTATCCCCAATCCTAACAAAGTTATTCAACCACTGCTTGAAGGAGAAACCCTTACCAAGCTTGTGGAAGGAGACAAGTGTATGCCCAGTCTTCAAGAACATGGACAAGCGATCCTCCTCCTCTTCCCAGTAATAGACCCATTAGTCACCTCAGTATCATCAGTAAAGCTTTTCAAGGCTTTAATTAACAAGGTAATCATGCACCTAGATAGGAACAACCTCCTGTACAACAAGCAGTATAGGTTTCAATAGGTCCAATCCAATGCTGATGTCCTGTCATTACACACTGACTTAGTGAGACTCTTGATGGCATACACACACACTTCAAGAACCATAGCAGTTGATAAAGCTGGAGCATCATCCCCTAATGTAGCAACCATGTCAGCAGAACACTTTTTCTGCAGGTACTTGACAACACCATGATGCCAAATTTTGTCCATTTTCAAGAGAAGTCATTATTTGTTACTTTTGAAGTCTTCTTTGAATAGTCAGATGTCAGTTTAGCTGTAAAGAAAATACAGTTATTAATAAGAAGAGTTGAAATTAATGCATGCAAGATTTCACAGCTGTAACATCACTCTTTCACAGTCAGCCTATGATCTATTCAGTCCACCCTTTTAGTGGACTGCCTTTCTAGATGTTCATTTGAGAAACGAAAGGGAAACAATGTTCCAACTGTGAGAAAGAAAAATAAAAGTACTGGGCAGCACACAAATATTAATAAATACAACCAGAAGAAAGCTGAAGATTGTTGTTTTTATAACATTTGACCAATACAAAGATGAAAATATTAGAATGAATAGAACAAAATCAAGAAAGCCAGTAATTAAAAAAAAATTAAGGAAAAGGAAAAAAAAATCAAAAAAAAAATCAACCAACCGTAATGGTAACGTGGTAGCTTGTTCTATTCTGGGTTTCTTTTTCTCTTTGCTTTCTGATCCAAAGCCAAGTAAACCACTGAGAGGGAGGAAGAGAGAAAGAAAAAAAATTTAATTATAAGCAAAAAGATAAAAAATCTCAAAGGGTAAAAGTAATTAACAAAAAGAAGAGAAAGATAATTGAGAGGGGGGAGCAAGAAAATACAAGTCATTAGAACAGAGATGTAAAGACAATTCATGAAAACTGAGTGAGAGAGAGTGAGAGAGAGAGACAAGTCATGAGAGCAGAGAGAGAGACAAGTCATGAGAGCAGAGAGAGAGAGAGAGAGACAAGTCATGAGAGCAGAGAGAGAGAGAGAGACAAGTCATGAGAGCAGAGAGAGAGAGAGTGAGAAAGAAACAAATCATGACAACAGAGAGAGACAGAAAGTCTTTAATGAAACTTGTATAAAAGAGATATTGTCCTTAATAAAACACAAAATATATAATACAAGTAAAAGGTTTGTTACTAAGCTGATCTATGTTACCTTTAGCACCCCAACTTCAGAGTTTTGTAGACGGACACTCTGGGAATCACTCCACCCATTTGTCAGAGACAGGTTTTAGCAACTGACTGCTTGTATTTTTTGATTTTTTGTTTTTATATGAACTTTTCATTGGTGCAAGATTTTTTTTTCATAGTGTGTAAGTGTAACATGTGGTTGTCTTTTTCACCATTTTTTTTTTTTTTTTTTTGCACTTTACACTCACTCCTTAACCATAAATTCTTTTTCTGATATCAGATCCACAGAGAAACATATCAAGGTAAAATGTTTTCAAAATTCTTATAAATTTCCTATTCTGTTGGATTTATCTCCACACAAAGATATATACATGCATATTTGTGGGTTGGTTAGTTGTTCCTATCATTTAAGAGATTGCCAGATCCTTCATGGTTTTCTCAAGAACACTGGTATTACCTGGCAGCACTAATGACAGGGGACAATACTTGATTATATTGTACCGGTAACAAAAAAAAATCATTGACGTGACTGAAATTTCTGGTATAGAAATAACTTTTCTAATTTTACAACAAAAATTCCAAAGAAAGAAAATAATTACTCACCTGGCAGCTGATACAAAGGCAGATTTGAGTTTGCTAGCAACAGCATAAGCAACATCAGATAATATTGGTTGCATACTTCCCTAGAAAGAAGAAACGATATTAAAATGCTATTGACAGGTCACAGAAGAAATATATCACTGCCAACAATAAAATATATATATATATATATATATATGTGTGTGTGTGTGGATTTGTATGCAGTTCACTAGTGGGATTGAAGTGTCACATACAACACAAACATATAAACTGATTGAGGTTGTTGGAATCTCATATGTCAAAAATTAATGGGAGAATCCATCATATATATATATATATATATATATATATATATATATATATATATATATATATATATATATATATATATATATATTTATAAGGGAATGTCCAACACTCCCTATTCCGCCTATGTGGACTGACTATATCGGTAGATATATGTGGTAAGCACAGGATATACCTATATGGATTTGCTTGGTACCACTTTTGTTTGTAACCTTCTTTAAGGATACAACAATATCTATGGAAAAAAGTTTATTTGTGACACGTTTCATCCTTCATTGGACTAAATTTGTTATGTTGGTACAACTACACATGCACACACATGGGGATTTTAGAATTTTTTTCATATATCTAGTGGGATTCATTTAGAGTCTTTTCCTTTCTATCACTTTTGTTAGAAGGAGACAGTTCAGAAGAGTTGCAGTAGATTCCCAAGTGGGCTGAAGCCAATGGTGATTTTATTGAATAAATTTACTCTATAGTATTTCAAGATATTTTTGTGTAATTTTGGTAAGCATATCTGTTAGGATGAGATGTTAGTGTTGCTATTTTCATTTTTTGTGCAATTTAGATGACAATTTATCCATCGCACTATATATATATATATATATATATATATATATATATATATATATATAGATAGATAGATAGATAGATAGAGAGAGAGAGAGAGACACACACAAACTGAAATAAAATACAAAACAAAGACTTATTTCAGGTTAGTTGAGAAAAATTGCTCCTGAGAAATGATTACACTATTTTGCAGCATTTAGAGTGAATCAGCATATTGGACACTGTAAATTTAGTAAGAAATATGTTTGAAAAACTAATGGATATTTTCTAAACTCCACTGGTGGAGATTTGTAGAGATTACGTTTGACCTCTGTATTGACTTTTTATTATGCAGGGTCAAATTTACATAAAAAAAAAAAAAAAAAATATTTGAGAGAGAGAGAAAAACAAAAGGGAATAAAAGACAGAGAGAGAAAAACAAAAGGGAATAAAAGACAGAGAGAGAAAAACAAAAGGGAATAAAAGACAGAGAGAGAAAAACAAAAGGGAATAAAAGACAGAGAGAGAAAAACAAAAGGGAATAAAAGACAAGAGAGAGAAAAACAAAAGGGTATAAAAGAGAGAGAGAAAAACAAAAGGGAAAAAAAAGTAAAAGTAAATAAATGAAAAATAAAATAAAAAGTGCTGCAAATAGTTAATATATTTACAACTTCATGAATTATTTTGAGTAAAATGTCTCTCCAAATCAGTATTATAAACTTGTTAAACATTATCCACTTTTAACATGAAACAATGTGTACTGTTAATCACACACATACAAGAGGGGGTACTGAAAGTCTCCCCACTTCAGATTTTGAGAAATAGGTTAGATTGATCACTTGCCATTGCCATTCATATACATGGTTTTATCAGTGGAAAAAATGTCAATGTACCTATAAATGTTTTGAAAATTAGATCCAATATTAATAGAGAAAAGGATAAAAGTCAAATTAACAAATAGTGATGTTTTTAGTATGTGGAATGTGGGGGGGTGCTGAAAAATTGTAGAATACTCAACAGAAGAGGAATTTTCAGCAATCTTGAACCCCCGTGCCTGCAAAAAAGAAACAGAGTGTCAAAAGGACAATTTTTTTCCCTTGACACCACTATTATTTTAACTACCTTCACTCCTCAACAATGTGTGTGTGCACTTATTTATTGGGGGGGGGCTTGTTTCTGGATTAATTGTCATTATGCATTATTGTAGTTGATGATTAGTCACTATAAACAGTTTAAACTGACTTATAACAAAATACATTTCATTACTGCTGTCATCAACTACAATAATGCATAATGAAAAGTGTAGTTTATTTCTTAATTAAATTCAATTTTTTTTCATTTTTATTTTATTACTAGTTTTAATATTGCAGCTTTATATTGCTAACACTCTAGGTCAATAAACTCTTCATTATTACTATTGGAGAAAAAAGTAAAATGCAATAGTCATCTTCTGTGTCCTTGAATCTTGTTCCTTTTATTGTCCTTTATCTTCAAAAACATTTTCTTGGTTTCCTTCACTCTCAGTAACCACTTGCATCTTAGTGACTTTATCACCTTGCTTGGAGGTGAAATGATTTAAAAAAGAAAAAAATAATTTTACTTTTGTCTTATTATTGTTGCTTTTTATCCCAACACTGGTTCAATATGCCTTCATTATAAACATTATTTATTACTAGTTTTACTCCATCTTATGATCGTTGCTTTTTATCCAAATACTATAGCTCAATACGCTCTTCATTATTACTATTACAGTGCAACCTCGGTTTTTGAACATCTCACATGTTGAACAAATCAGTTTTTGAACGAAAAATTTAAGATGAAAATGCCTTGGTTATCGAACAAAATTTTGGTTCTCGAACAACATTGCTGAATTGAGTTAACCTAAAGGGAATAATTTCTGAGTTGACCGCCATGTTGTATACATTTGTATGTTGTGCCGTGTTTTTCTTTTTCAATTTTATTGTACTGTGACTTTTTTTTCTACATTGATTCCTATTAGAAAAATAGTTTCAGGTTACAAGCAGCCTTTTTCCCACAAATTAAATTTGTGAACTGAGGTTCCACTGTATTTTATTAGAAGGTTTTATTTTATCTTATTATTGTTTGCTTTTTATGTAAAATTCTCTGGGCTAATACAATCTTTATTATTGATATTAGAGCATTTACCTCTTCAGCATAAAAGACAAAACCAACATAAGGGAAGGCCCCAGCTGTTATATAAAGAGATGTGGCAGGAGGTGATAGACGGACAGCAGAATAGAATCCTTTCACATTAGATGCAATAGTCATTGAAAGTGAATGCACTTGGGCTGCAAACTCCTGCAAGAACAATAAAAAATAAGAAGAGTTTTATATTTTAATGAAAGGAAAAAAAAAACCCAACAAGACAGATTCTTGGGACTTTGTACAGACGTTCTGGATTTCAAAGAAAAAAAGTGTAAATTTTGAGCTTGCTTTGCTTATTCAAATATTTTTAGCATGAGTCAGTCTAATACCTTATAATAACAATAAGAAGAAACAGAAGAAAATAAAAGAAGAAACAGAAGAAAATAAAAGAAGAAACAGAAGAAAATAAAAGAAGAAACAGAAGAAAATAAAAGAAGAAACAGAAGAAAATAAAAAAAACAGAGAAAATAAAAAAAGAAACCGAAGAAAATAAAAGAAGGACAGACAGAGAGAGAGAGAAGGAATTAAGGACAAGAGTAAGAGAGAAGGACAAGGACATGTGGACAGAATATAGAAGGAAAAGCTCAGAGACAAGGAGAGACAGAGAAGAAAAAGGAGAGAGAGAGAGAAGAACAAGGAGAGAGACAGAGAAGAACAAAAAGGAGAGACAGAAGAAAAAGGAGAGACAGAGAAGAACAAGGAGAGAGACAGAGAAGAACAAGGAGAGAGACAGAGAAGAACAAGGAGAGAGACAGAGAAGAACAAGGAGAGAGACAGAGAAGAACAAGGAGAGAGACAGAGAAGAACAAGGAGAGAGACAGAGAAGAACAAGGAGAGAGACAGAGAAGAACAAGGAGAGAGAGAGAGAAGAACAAGGAGAGAAGAGAAGAACAAGGAGAGAGAGAGAAGAACAAGGAGAGAGAGAGAGAAGAACAAGGAGAGAGAAAGAAAAAAACAAAAAAGAGAGAGAGAAAACAATGGGAAACAGAGAGAGAACAAGGAGAGAGAGAAGAGCTCAGGAGAGAAGAAGAGAAGAGAGAGAGAGAGAGAAGAAGAACAAGGAGAGAGAGAGAAAAAGACACAGAGAAGAACAAGGAGAGAGAGAGAGAGACACAGAAAAACAAGGAGAGAGAGAGAGACACAGTGTTCAGAACAAGGAGAGAGAGAGACAGAGAAGAACAAGGAGAGAGAGAGAAAATAGAAGAACAAGGAGAGAGAGAGACAGAGAAGAAAAAAGGAGAGAGAGACACGGAGAAGAACAAGGAGAGAGAGAGACAGAGCAAGAAGATAAGGAAAGAGAGAAGGAGAAGAACAACAAGAGAGAGAGAGAGAAGAATTTAGAGAGAGAGAGAGAGAAGAACAAGGAGAGAGAGAGAAAAGAAGAACAAGGAGAGAGAGAGTTTCAGAGAAGAACAAGGAGAGAGAGAGAGAGACAGAGAAGAACAAGGAGAGAGAGAGATTCAATAGAAGAACAAGGAGAGAGAGAGAGAGAAGAGAAGAACAAGGAGAGAGAGAGAGAGACTAAGAAGAAGAAGAGAAGGAGAGAGAACTCCTTGTGAGAGACAGAGAAGAACTAGGAGAGAGAGACAGAAAAGAACAAGAAGAGAGAGAGACAGAGAAGAACATAAAGAGAGAGACATAAGAAGAACAAAAAGAGAGAGACAGAGAAGAACAAGGAGAGAGAGAGACAGAGAAGAACAAGGAGAGAGAGAGACAGAGAAGAACAAGGAGAGAGAGAGACAGAGAAGAACAAGGAGAGAGAGAGAGTTCAGAGGAAGAACAAGGAGTATATTTAAGATAGAGAAGAAGAACAAGAAGAGAGAAGAGTTAAGAGAAGAAAGAGATGAAGAAAAAGAACATTGTCATCTAATTCTACTCTCCAGAGTTTGGTAGGATATGAATACAGAGTAATGGAGAAAAAAAAATGAAAACAGTGGAAAGTGCTGTTGCTAAAATTCTCACTTCAGGTATCCTTGATTGACTATAGTAGAATTATTAGCCTTCTACCTCTTTTTAGCAAAGTACTAGAGGCTCTAATTAACTCTGAATTGGTTAAACATCTCAAATTGCAGGGTCTTCTTTCAGATAAGCAATATGGCTTTTGCTTCTCTAGGTCACCTGCTGAGGTGTTAAGAATTACTGCAGAAAGAGTCTATCAAGCTTTAGATAGGAATGGTGAAACTTGAGCTGTTGCTTTGATATCTAAAAAGGCATTTGACAGGGTTTGGCATACTAGTTTTCTTCAAGTTGAAAGGTTATGGTATTTCTGGATAAATTTTTTCACTGATTCTGTCTCTCTTATCAAATCGCGAAATGAAAGTGGGCTTGAATGGTCACTCTCTTAGATCTTTTTGCACAAATGTAGATGTTTTGACAACGATTTACTTCTGCTTCAATAAAGACCTTAGCAGCTGATCTCAAAAATTTTTTTTCCATCAGCATGGTTGATGCTAACCTCCAGGAGAGTATTACATTAAACTTGGGATAAATTTTTCAGCTGATATGAAGTAGAAAGATTATATTGAATCAATTGCTAAGTCTGCAGCTAAGAAAGTTAGTTCACTACGTCATACTAAACAATTTTTCTCACCAGAATATACATCACATATAAATATATATAAAATTTATAAATAAAGTCTACCATTTGTCCTTGCTTTGAATATTGCTGCCACATCTGCTCTGGTTCTCCTGCTATATATTTAAAGATTCTTGATAAAATCCCAAAAAAGAATCTGCAATATTATTGGTTCTGACCTGGTATCTTGGCTTTAGTCCCTTTCCCACTGTTGTAATGTAGCTTCCCTGTGCCTTTTCTATAAATATTTTCATGGTAATTGTTCTGATGAACTTTCCTCTATGGTACCTAGACTTTATGAATTTAAGTGCAGTACTAGATTGGCAGCAAGGTCTCATCATTTTACAGTTGAAATGGCTAGATGTAACTGTAAGTTCTATGCTAACAGTTTCTTTATCACACTTCTTGCTTGTGGAACTCTCTTCCTGGCTTCTTGCTTTCCAGTCAACTTTGATCTTCAAAAATTTAAATGCAATGTCAATCATTATCTTCTGTCTTCTTAATTTTTGTTTCTTTTATTGTTCTTTTCTTAATTAATTTTTTTTTTCTCATATTCTCTAACACTCAGTAACCCTTGTGTCTTAGTGGCTTTATTACCTTTGCTTGGGGTGAAAATAAAAAAAAAAAAAAAAAAAAAAAAAAATTCTTTTTATCATCTTTAATTGAAAAAATTTTATAAAAAATTTTTAGTATAAAATTCAAATCTCAAATTATTATTAAATTTAATTCCATAAAAATTTTAAAAAAAACTACACAAATTTTAATCTACAAAAACATTTAGTGCATTATTTCTTTTTAATTAATGAAAATAGAGTTTTTATATTTTTAAGGTTAAGTTTAGTAAATAATTTTAAAGCCTTCTTACAAAAGTAGAATTTTTTTCAAATAATAATGTTATTTGTACATAAGAATTTTAAAATTATAGTAAATCTGGATTTGAAATTATATAGACCTATGAAAAAAAAAACCCATTTAGAACTAGACCATAAAAAAAATGATGGATTTCTATTCTTTTTTAACCAGAATCCAAACAAGTTTAAATATAATTTTAATATAAAGTGAGCAACTGTTTGCTCATTTGTTTCTGGCCAAACAAAGTTGAAAATAAAAGGGTATCTTTATTTGTTTTTACAAAAAAGAATAATTTTTGACCTCTGATTTTATTTAGAGTTCATATTAATTCAATTTAAAAAAAAAATTTTGCAATATTTCTGTGAAAAACAGTTTTGTTTTCCTTTGCAGAATGTTTATTTATTTGTTTTCAAATTCAATTTTTTAGATAATTTTGTGATCTAACAAAAAAATTTAATTGAAAAATTTTCTTGTATGTAAAAGTATTTTATTTTAGAAAAAATAAATAAATATATTTCTTATTCTTTTTTTTCTCAAAAAAAATTTTCTTAAAAAACAAAAATACTATTAACCATATTTTATAAAAAAAAAAAAAAAATTTTCCTAAAGAATTAAATTTCAGTTCCTATATTTATAATTTCTATAATAGCAAAATAGAACTCTATTCTTAACTGCTTGAAAGCAATTTTTTTAAAAAAAAAAAAAAAAAATCAATTGAAGAAATTTAAACATTTTTTATATATCAAAAATTGATAAATATATTTTAAAATCAAATTGATTTTTTTTTGATTTTTGTTATTTAGGAATTTTCAATTGGAAAAATTTCTTTATATTGCAAAAGAAAATTTAATACAAAAAAACAAATTTCATCAAATTTTAGTTTAAATAGATTTAAAAGTGACTGAAGATAATGTGGTAAAAAAAGAAATGAGATATAAAATATACATTCAGAAAATTTTATACAAGTAATGAAAATATCCACCAGATTAAAACATTTATTTCAACAAATGTATTATCATATTTTTAGAATTTTTAAAAGGAACAAGAAATTCAAATGCAAATAAATTGAAATGAAATTTTTCTAAACTTTTTAAAAAAAATAAATTTCAAGAGATTTTTTAAAAAAAAAAAAATTTAAAAAATTAACAACAATGTTTTTAAACATTAATATTTTAGAATTGGATACCAACCTCCAAAGAACATTTTTCAAAAAGTTAAAAATCATCATGTAGTTTCCATTTTCTTATAACTTAATAAAATCAATTTTTAAAGAATGAATCACTATAATTTTTTGCAGCTGAAAAATGAAAGAAGATAAATTCCTTAAAAAAAATAAGTTAAATTGCAATTTTAAAAATTAATTTATTGTCTTTTTCTTTGAGTTAAAGATCAATAATTGTCTTTAATTTTTTCAATTTAAAGTTTTTTTGAATGATTTTAAAATTTATATCAAATGAAAAATTATTAAACATCATCAAATAATTTTATAGAAATGGAAAACCTTTTATTATTTTTACATTATCAAAATGAAATTTTTTTTAATTTTTTAACAGTTTTAATTTCATTGATTTGATTTCAAAAGAGAATATTTGTATAAAATCTTTATTATTAAATATATGGATTTTTAATCAGGATTTATGGATAAAATAAAACAATTTTAAAAATCACAAATAACAATATTACAGATTTTTTTTTAAAAAATTCAATATAAAATTTTTTTTTTTTTTAAATATTAAAAAAAAAATTTATTTTAAATTTTGTTAATTTTAATGTTGAATTTATTTTAAACCTTGATGAAAGTTAAAAATCATTAATCTATTTTTCATTGAAAAAATTTTTTTTAAAAAAAAAAAACTGATTAAATTTTTACTATAAAAAATGACAATTAATTTGAGGAAATTTATTAAGAATTAAATTTGAAAAAAAATTTAAATAAATAAAAAAAGGAAATTTAAGAAATAGATTTAAATTCATAAATTTTAAAAAAAAATTCTTAAAAATCATTTTTTTTTGAAACTGATATTTTGAAAATTTAGAAATTATTTGTACAAAATTGAAATTTTCAAATGGAATATTTTTAATGAATAGATGAATAATTTTTTATTTTGGAGAAAAAAAACCAAAAAAGAGATATGAATAAAATAAAATTTTTTTTATCTATAAAAGTCTATTAAATAGGGTATTGAAAAAAATTTAAAATATATTTTTATCAAAAATGATTTTAAAAAAAAAATATTTGGACATTTTTTTTAAATGAGTTTCAAATATATCATTAAGAAACAATTCAAAACATGAAATCATATTAATGTACAAAAATTAGAAAATTTTTTAAAATTCATTAACATGAACAATTTAAATTTAAATGCAAAGAAATTTTTATTTTTACTTGAAAAATTAAAAAAAACACTAATTAATGAAGTTTTTTGGACAGAAATTTTTTAATTTTACAACATTTAAATTTTTTATAAATAAAAATTTAAAAAAATTTAAATTTTTTGATAGTAAAATTTATGGAAACAGTTTGAAATATTGAATTAACAATTTAATCTGTTTATATTTTCACTGGGCACATTTTAACTAATAAGAATTGATAAATAGTTTTTTCTTAAAATGGAAATTAAAAAAAAATTTTTATCATTAAAATTAATTTTTTTTTTGTAAATCTCATAATTTGCAAAATAAAAAATGAATTATGTTATTTTAGGATATAAACAAGGAATGATTTTTTTGATTTTTAAAGCATGATGAAAATGGATTTTTCTTGATGATTTTGATATGTTTTATTTTTTCAAATCAGATAAAACTTATAAACATGAAAGTACAAAAATAATTTTATATTTTTTTCGTGGAATATTTTTTAAAATAAAAATTAAACTAGAAAAAAATAAAAATTTTTTCGTTAAAAATTTTAAAAATATAGGATTTTTGAGCCAGTTGCATATAACAGTTTTAAAAAGTTTGGAAATTTTAAAATATCATGTTTTCTTTTTGAAAATGATTTTTTTTGATTTGAATTTTAAATTAAGTTATTTAGGGGAAAATTAAAATTTTGAAAAGGTTAATTTTTAAAAGAACTATATAATAATTGAATTTA